TAGTTCATACACTTATATATATTTTATTTATGTTTATACCGAATTAATCGTCCTTAATATCCGAAGTTTATGTTGGGCTTTCGGATCTACGGGACAAAAGTTCAACATTGGCGCCGTCTGTGGGAATTGGCGCATTGGGTGGAGACCACAACCATGCTGTCTTCGGGAGGCACCTGGAGAAACTGGCCGGAGAATCGGGCCCAAATTCAGATGCTAATTCCTGATTCGGTGGACTTCCGCCTTCAATCGGGTCTCCACCCAATGCGCCACTTCCCAGGAATGGTTGTGGTCCATTCCCACAGACGGCGCCAATGTTGAGGTTTATTCCCGAAGATCCGAAAGCCCAACACAAGCCTTGGATATTGTAGGGATATTGGGTTGGATTGAAAGGTGTATAAAATATAAAATAGTGAGACAATATTCAACTCAAGAACTTACTTATATTCTGTAATTAAGCAATTACACTGAAACTACCCGAACGGTAGATGAATATGAGATTACAAGGATGGGAGATGTAAATCTATTGCTAAGCTCTGAGTCTTAAAATGCTAACCCTTACAATGATTTAAACTGGGGTATTTATACTATAATGGGGATGGGTAAGGTGGATACGTGGCCGAATCTGGTAGGCTATCACCTCTGCCATGTAAGCACTCATGCCCCCACTTGCAGCTGTCATGATCCAGTATTAAATGCGGCCTCCACTTGCTGACCGCCCGTTCGGGCAAGGTGTTCGGTGTGTAGGACCCCACCATAAGTGATAATTTCTACCCGAAGTATCCCGAACGCCGATCGATATTTGGGCCTTGATACTTTGGCATAATTGTTTCCCAGAATGTTCCAAGTATAAGTTTTATCCCGAATGCCGTTCGGGAGTTTTTGGGCTTGCAGCTTCTTCCCGGATTTGGGCCTAGGGATATCGGGCCTGGACCCAATATCCCAACATTAGTCCCCCACTTCCTATGTCTCGAACGGTAGTGAGTGCATGAGGAAGTAGAAGATAATTGCCCAAAGGCCGTTCAGGTGAGAATCGAATGGCATTCCGCTGGTTCCCGAGGTATATTTTGACGGTTATTTGCAACTGTCGTTTCACTTCTTCGATAAACGCCATGATTTCTTGAGAAGGGTTCTCCGCGTGACACGTGTATCCGTCATCATTACAGAAAACGTGTCCTCTTCTGATTGGGTGCTGAATCGGCGTGACAGAGTATAAATAGGCTCTTCTGGTTTTGATTCTGGGTTTCGAAACTTTGCACCTCCGGCTTATAATTCATCCTTCTCTCTAGAGCTTCATCCGCAGCTTCTGTTCAGGTATCCTTCGAGTTCCCTTCTACTGTTTAGTTCCCTCGTTCGGTGAGAATGGCACCCCTTCGTTCATCTGAACCCTCTACCTCCGACACTGTAATTCCAGAAGAAAACCCCAACGATATGCTGCAAGTTGTCCGTATTCCGGCGGAGGTTAACGGCGATGATTCCTCTTCCTCCGATGTTTACCCTGATGGCACCAAATCGGGGGATGAATTGGAAGTTATGGAAGCCGGCCCTCCAAGCGGCGTTTCCTGTCATAAGCTTGACCTAGCTCTTATTAGGTTTAGGCGCCAAAAGCTCACGGCCCAGAATCGTGCCTAGTGCGGGATTGCACCTCACTTAGGGCTTATGCATGCCTTGCGTCCGAGATTATTCCAAGACTCTGATTCAGGGAAGGCAGGGAAGGACGTGAGCAGGATTATACTTTCTCGAGTAGATTTGCAGGCTCACTACTCAAGAAACTGGGGGACTTGTGTTGGGTATATTACCCCGGCTTACTACTGTTCAGAGCACCGCCCCGATACGGGGCCCAGTTAGCAAGGATCATTTAGGCCCAACCGGCCCATTTAGGCCCATTGGCCCATTAGCATAGCCCTAAAAAAAAAAACCTCCCCTTCTATAAATAGGAGGCGAAGCCTCCTAATTAAGGGATCTCTCTTTTGGAGCTCTCTCCTCCCTCCCTGCTTATTTTCCTTCTTGATAGACTAGTTCATACCTCCATTAATGGAGCTCTACTTTATACTATGTAAATGAGTGATGGGAGGATATTAATGAGAAAGAGCGGGCTTGGACGTTAGCCTAAAAAGTCCCGTGGTTTTCTCCCTTTCCGGGTTTCCACGTAAAAATAGCTAGTTCATACACTTATATATATTTTATTTATGTTTATACCGAATTAATCGTCCTTAATATCCGAAGTTTATGTTGGGCTTTCGGATCTACGGGACAAAAGTTCAACATTAACTATGACACATTGTGCTACTTTAATATTCTACGTTAGTTTTTATTAATTTTATATTAATTAGAGTTACATTAGGGTGGGAACCTCTTGGATCTTATTTTCTGGATCCGTCACTGATCACCCATAAATGCAGCTGAACTATTCACACCTCCATTTACGACCAATTGTAACGGCGTAAACACTATCCCTCATTTTCCGAAGGAATTAACACCTCTACGATTAATATTTGGAAAATTCTTAGTGTACACAAGTTGTACACAAATTGTACACAAAACCCCCCTAGTTGTCTGTGTACACAGGCAATTCGTTTAAAAAGGGACAGGACAATGTACACATTTTGTGTACATCTTGTGTACACCAAGAATGGTCCTTAATATTTTGCATTGACTCTAAGCAACTAAAATCACGTATTGTGAAAGCGACAGATTTCACAATACTGTTCCCTTTACCAGGGTCGTTTTTTAGCATGTTCATTAGGTTCGACGGAACAGGGCCTCACTTTGCATGAGGCCCCAATATTTATAAGACGTTAGTGGTATTATTTTTAGATCACTAACATTAATTGATTATGTAATGTAATGGGCCGCATCCTATACTATCATACATGAATATGGGCCGCAGCCTGCAGCTAAACTCACACTCCACTACTCCGTATAATAATGCCCTCATAAATTAAAACCATTTACAAAAAAATGTAGAGATTAATTATTTGAAAGGGAAAGTTACAATATGTAATTCTGTAATTACATTATTTAATGAGTATTCAATTGGTTTGAATATAATAAGAATCTACATCGAGTATGTTTTGTAGTTTTTTATATTGACGAGGGGCCTCAAATTTGCATTTTGAACAGGGGCCTCCAAATTCATTAGACGGCCCTGCCCTTTACTTCTTTTGCTTATACATTAAGGGAGATTTGGAGGTCATGTTCATGGCCCTTTATTTCTCATTTTCATGTTCAAAAATGTGTGTATATATATATATGTGGCATGTCAATGTGCATATATTCTGTGTGTTTTATTACTGCTTTTGACGGCTATGCCTACAAAAGAAGTTTACTGGGAAACTTGAAATTAATACTCAACCCGAGACGATTCAAGCCAGTGTTAGATCAACAACCATTAAAATTAGAAGTTAGAATGAAGAGAAAAGTATTATCATTGTTTTATTTTCAAAATATCATATTCACTCTCATGTATTTTGGGAATTTTTAAACTTATCTTTTAATAAAAAGAAATAAAGCTTATTTGAGAATAAAACATACTCGGTCGTTTTAATTTTTCATTTTGAATGTTTTAAGTCCAATGAACAATCTCTCTAGAGTATATAGTATATTCGAGTATTATAAATGTACTACACAATTAGTGTCTCTCACACACATATATAATCTCAATCATATCCGTTTTGCACTTTTGCCATGACATTTTTAATATTTTAAAATCTGAAAATTGAAACAAATAAGAAAAAGTTGACTCAAGCAAAAAAAAAAACAAGCGAACTTGCTTCACTAGACACTAGTAGTGTAGTAGAGGTTGCTACGTTGCTTCGTATACCATATATACTCCGTACATTTTACATTAAATGTCGAAGGATTCGGCAGGGCACGACGTCACAATTTGAGTGTTCAAATTGTACAACGTAAACGTAGAAGTTGAAAAACATTAAAACTAATTCTATACATTGAACTATTGAAGTGAATTCAATGTCTTGGACATACAAAATGTTCTGTGAATAAATAAAAACATAATAATACTCCGTGATTAAGAATTAAGATTTTTCAATGCATTAAGAATAAAGATTTCATTATATAGTCAAATGATAAATTGATAATTCATGAATGATGATATATCATACTCCGTATATAGATAGTACTCCGTGATTAAGAATTAAGATTTTTCAATGCATTAAGAATAAAGATTTCATTATATAGGATGTTTTCTTTTGGACTGTTTTTAGTCCCAGACCAGACCAGACTTAAACAAGACCTGACTAGACTTGAATAGTTATAAAATACACAGAGACCAGACGTTTACCAGACCAGACCAGACCAGTTCAGACTAAACTTAAACAAGTCAGACCAGCAAATTTCAATCCAAAAGAAAACATCCATAGTCAAATGATAAATTGATAATTCATGAATGATGATATATCATACTCCGTATATAGATAGTAGTACGTATTACGGAGTAATATTTACTTTCCTTAGGGATAGCTCAATGAGGTTAAGTAACAGATGTCAAGGTTAAGGATGTTTTCTTTTGGACTGAAATTTGCTGGTCTGGTCTGTTTAAGTCTGGTCTGGTCTGGTCTGTTTAAGTCTGGTCTGATCTGGTAAACGTCTGGTCTCTGTGTATTTTATAACTACGGAAGTCTGGTCTGGTCTGTTTAAGTCTGGTCTGTTTAAGTCTGGTCTCGGACTGAAAACCGTCCAAAAGAAAACATCCTAATTTATGTTGATCATTAGCATATATTAAGGTCGATAAGTTCACTTACCAACTTAATTACTACTAGTAACATACAAAATGTGAAAATAAAATGAAACCCCAACTCGAGTTCACTTACCGCGTAATACAATATATGATCGCGGCTTTTAATAACACGATAAAAATGAAACAAATCAAATCCAAGTAACTAACAAGAGCCCCGTAATACAAAAACTCGAATGTAGACTTTTTATAAGTACATGTTTTATGAAAAATTGAAATCAAAATACAATTACTACCGGACCAATATGCAAACAGTAACACTTCATTGAAAAGGACATCACATTCGATTTTACATGAATACCGGAAATCAAACACGTAATTAAACACTACTTAAATTAAAAGCTGACATCAGGAGCAATTAGCTAGTTTAAACACTCCCCGACATGCTTTAAGCTCAAAAAATCTGAAAAAGTAAATATAATCATCACATAATTTCACAACCATATACGTAATACTCCTATAATAAATAGTCGAACCAGATATATGGTGCACCCCCAGCATCTTTATCAGTAGATTATGTACATAATTCTCCATGTACTTAGCCTTGTTCAATCTTGTTAATTAGGTCAACAGATCGTTGACCCAACCGAGGTCAATCCCAGTCAACCCTCCGTCATTGTTGTATTTCCCTTCACCACCGTCGCAGTTGATTCTCCCACCGGGCAAGTCCGAATTACAACTCTTCAAATTTTTGTTGTAATAATCCGCGTGTTCAATAATGGAGTTGACTCCGACATTGACCGACGGAATATTCGCAATGAGATTGGCTTTTCTGTTTATATTCCTGCTTACCGTTACCTGTTTGGCCAGTTCGGTCAAAGCATTTTTGTAATTCAGCATCGCAATGGCATCAAAATGACCGCCGGAAGCCACTCCATACGGCGGCTCGACGCCGCAGCACCGACAAAACGGGATTGCCGCGGCCGGTGACATGGGCGGAGAGAGGGAAGGGGACGACGGCGGGGAAACCTGTGGAATACCCATCAAAGTCGAGGTCGGCGAGTGGCAATACATACTGCTGTTGCTCAGATTCCGGTAGTACTTCTTCTTGGCCGCCGCCGCGGCGGAGCTGCTACTTTCAGGGCCGTTCACCGGCAGAACCCGAAGCTGGCGGGAAGTGTGAGCGAAGAAACACACCTTGCGCTTGCAGTTCCGGCCGTCTTTGCAGGGCTCCGTCCGGTACCGGGCCGGATGGAGCCAGCACTCGAAAACCCCGTGAGCGAACTCACAGTTGTCTCCACGGCTACAGTTACCCTTTCGGAACTCCGAGCAGACGGCGCCGGAGTAGTGAAACTTCCGGGGATCTCTCCGGCGGGCCTTCTCGCCGGGGTGGGCAAACGGGCAATCCGTCCAGTCATGACTGCGGCTGCGGGTGCAGCGGCGGACCTTAAAGTCGTACATCCGGAAAAGATCCGCGGCAAAAGGGTCGTCTTCATCGTCATCAAGATTGTTGTAGGGCAAGAACTTACGAAAATTTGAACCCCCGAAAGTATTATAAGTCGCCGGAGATTCCAAGAACGTATCAAGATCCAAACTTTTCGGAGAAATTCCGTCGAGATTGTTGAAGTAAAACCGCCGCGGGTCGGAAGAGAGTTGAAAGATTCGATCTTTAGTACAAACTGTCTCCATAATCATATGCAGAAGAGAAGTTGTTTCTTAATAATGAAATGTTCAATGGAGAAATAGATAGATTTATTTATAGATTTACAGAAAAGGATGGATAAGGAGGGATACTATACGGAGATATGTACTGGATGGTTGATGGATGTGCGTATATATACGTACAGACATACGGATAGAGGCACGTACGTACGGCGGTGGTGAGGTGGGCGATGACGAGGATTGGTGGGGGTGTGGGGGAAGATACGTGGCTTCACAGCATTTGGGATTGTCATGGACAGGTGCACATGTGGCAGCTCCATATAACGCATGGGAAAGGTAGCGTTTTGAGGTGCGTGTATTGCAGGCGCCGCCGCCGCCGAGATAAGAGATCGAAGGGAGCTCACCCAGTGGAGGACCTAGGCCGGGGCCTGGGGGGCATGTGCCCCGGCTTCCGACCCCAAAGTTTAGTATTAGTACTTGAAATAAAAATTGTGCCCCTGTTATCTGGACAAAAAATTATACTATAGTAGTATTTTTCATTAGTATTACCGAAATATAACTAATGAGCATAATTATGGTCACTAAAATTGCTTTGGTAGTATGTAAGTTATATTTTTGTCCACTATCTTTATTTCAACCATATTGCCATTATTTCAAAAAACTATTATATGTATAGGACTCCGTCGAAGACATATAATAATTGTAGTAAGAAATATAAACAACTCTGCAGTTGTGATGGAGCAAATTCTTATAATTAGATATGTTGTTATATTGTTACTACACTTTAATTGAAAAGTGACATTGATGATTGTTTACTTGGTGTGAATAATGTCTGTCCAAAGTTAAAGTTCAAAGATACGACAAGGGTTCTAATATGCAGGATAAACTTAATAGATTGAAGACTTTTATCTTGAATAAAAGTTGATACATGAAAAAATGTGTTAATTCGCGATAAATTAGTTTCAAATCGACATACCCTTTAAATATTTTCTATAATATGATACTCGTAAAAGTTAGATATATAGAATCATATAATTAAATAAAGTTGTATTAAATGATGAAATCCTAAACTTGACTTATACATAATTTAATTTAAGACGATAGTATTATATTTTAGACAAGTACCAAGAAATTTTGTGGCACAATGTATAACATCGACATGATCTTAGTTCAAATCTGAAATCTTGATCATTTTATAGTATGAAAAATAGCAAAAATTCTAATGTAAAATCAGAAACGGCGCAAAGACGAGTCATTTCTAATCCGCCAAATTATGTCTTTCTTTCAAAAAGTCAAATATTGTTGTTTAGAATTGTCTTAATGAGTTCACAATTAGACTTGTAATCCGTATATATTCATTGCTTGACGTCGGGATTGAATAATCTATTTCAAGTTAAAAATATTAATTTGAACGCACTTGACAAAAAAGACCAATGATACACCCAATTCGATCCGATTCGACCCATTTTTATCTATGTGGGAGTGCCCCCGCTTCGGAAAACTTCTGGGTCCGCCACTGAGCTCACCCCAATACAAATCATAAGCTAAAATGGCAAATGTTGACCGATGTTTATCCAAAAGGTGCCAACTCCGGTACCCATTTAAAAAATGGGGGTACCGTAATTACCATGCATTTGATTGGTGCAAATCATTATATGTTTTTTAATTTAGATTTAAATAATTCAACTGCATCATTCTTATTGGTCCATTTGGACAAAGGTATGGTACATTTAGGGTATCATAGAATCTACCTATCCAAAAATGCTAATGGTACACGTTGGTTTATACACTCGTTTACATGTTAAGTATTTTTTCTGTGCACAATTGAGTTTAATTTAAGAAAGAAAATTGTTGATTTAGAATTCATTTTTCAGGTCACCGATATTTCTCTTAACTAAAATGAAAATCAATTGTCTGTGAACAGAAAATGAAAATCAATTGTCCGTGAACAGACAAAATAAACTTAGCGTGTAAACGAGCGTGTAAGTTGGGTGCGTACATGTAGCACTTTTTATGTTTATCTCTAAGAGATCTCCATCCATTAGATTATTAGAGGATTAAATTGATGATGTGGCAGATTAATTCTATATCATGATTAAGTGAGGGGAATTATTTAACGAGATTTTTCGACAAAATAATCCAGGATCAAAATATGAATCCAACTTATTTTAAGATTATTATAAAATTAGAGCTAATTAGTTAGTGCATGACCCACAAGGGATGTGATTTTTTTAGGGAAGGTGTGAGGTCATTTTGAAAAAGTCTATCTGTCACAAAAATCAGTTCTTTTAAATAGCATGGATATGAGTGCTCTATCAACTAGTAATGCCCTTTTTAATACTCCGTCCCATTTTACTCATCTAACTTTGTTTTTTAGGTTGTCCCAAAATAAGTGACACATTTCCCTTTTTGGAAAGAAATATGTAGTTCACAACAGTTCACTTTATTATACTCAAATTTCAACCAGAACTTTTATCTTTTGAACCACTTTAATAAAAATTGTGTCAAAACCAAATTAGACACATAAAATGGGACGGATGTAGTACATATTCAATTAAAAGCATAGAACTTCAACTAGGAGTGAATGAATCCGACCTATTACAGGACGAAAACAATGTTAATCTCAAATAAAATTCATCACTCCTATTTAACTCTTTTTTAAGAGCATAGTAATTGCCCCATATAGGACTAAAACATGGGAGAAATGCATAAATAGGACTTCATATGTTTTCTTCCCTTATCCCTTAATAGGACCAAGTTAGTCCTATTATCAAACGTATGAAAATTGGCATCCCAAATTTGCCCCTACACCCATTTATGTATTGATTCTCTCTCCCTTCTCCTTTCATCGATCGATCGATTCCACCGCCTCTGCGCCCATTTGCCCCTGCACCATCTATCTCTAGACCCCAAAGCAAAAAAGTAACTTCGTCTCATCTTCTCCCTGTAGATCTAAGCCACTGCCTTTACCTTCGTCGCCTCTGTCGCCTCCACTCGCCGCCTTCGTCATCCACATCATCGACTTTAGTTTCCTTCGGATTTCAGGTTTTTTCTCTGTTTTTCTTCTTCTTCTTCTTCATTTCCTCATCCTTCTCCTTCATATTTCTATTTTTCTGTTTTTCAGGAATTTGACATGGATTTTGCCAATTTTCAGGGTTATATTTTCGGATTTCCAATTTCTTATTTCTTAGTATTTCAAAAATTCTGATTTTCTGGGTTTTTGGATGATGGCATACGATTTTGCCATGTTTATGGCAGAAATGTACACTGACAATCATAATATGGCCACAAAGTTCTTTGTAAACTGTCTTTTCAGATTTTGCAAATTTTCAGAGTTCTGTTTTGGTATTTCCAATTTATTATTTCTTAGTATTTCAAAAATTTTGATTTTCTCGGTTTTTGGATGATGGCATACGATTTTGCCATGTTTATGGCAGAAATGTACACTGACAATCATACTATGGCAAAAAAGGTTCTTTGTAATCTAGCTTTTCTGATTATTTTGTCATTAACTTCGTAGTTGTAATTTTTAATTGTGTTAGCGTGCCAGTTCAATTAAAATTTGGAATTTTTGGAACATTTTGTTTTTCATTTCATATTTTTGCCAAGAGTGCCTTTCATATCCGGACAGCCTGATAAGAACCTTGTCCGACCAAACGCAAATCAGCCCTGCGATTTGTTTTAAAGGCTGGGATTTCTCAATCATTAAAACAAAACTCTCCTTTTCATTTATCTCCACATACGTGCGCGTGACTTCTAGCTTCCAAGAGGTTCGTCTTCATTGCGCGCCAGTTCCAGTTCCAAAGGACATCGGCTTCTCTTCGCATATAGCTGGACGACAGTTGCGGGTACAAATTTTTCAACCAAATCCCATAAATAAAATCAATTTATATATGTACATGTTCGTCCTATTAATTTTATCTGCGTGAGTTCTTTAACAAAAAACCATAAAGAAGTTATTATAATGATTTTACGATTTTGAGTGAAAACACCACAGGTGTTTCAATGGTCTCTGTTTCTTTTATCATCTACGGCAATGCTGTGCATTTTGTATTTTTTTCCTTCTTTTTTCTAAACTATGCTATGAAATTGAAAAAAACATATTAAAAACACAAGTCTCGTTGGTATAAGAAATACTACAATTTTTATGAGTATGGTAGGGATAGGCTCTGTGAGTGTGCTTTTTTTTTTTGCTTGTGATGGCTTATTTCGAAGTACTGATGTCTGCTATGGAGAGTTTTGTAGTTGTAGACTTTACATCTAAGATTTGTTAATTGGTTTTCTCACCTATTATTTGAACTGATTTATTGGTTGAATTAATAGTCTTGTCATTATTTCAAAAAGCAGAATCATGGAATCACCAGGGCAGAGAACTTCATGTAGCTTGACAGTTACTCATGTTGTGCCAAATGTTCCAACTCAGGAAAAACTATATGTGGGGATGACATTTGAAGAATTAGAAAATGCATTTGCGTTCTACAATAGGTACGCTAAGCTCGCTGGGTTTAGTGTGCGCAAAGAATCTTTGAAGAAAACGAAAGATGGTGTAATAAGGGGCAGGGTTTACACATGTTACAAAGAAGGGTTAGAAAAAAATGCCATGCTTGGAATTGATACCGAGAGATGTACACAAAACATCCGCAACGGATGTATGGCCATGCTTGGTGTTTCAAGAACTCGAAATAGTGTGTTGTTTAAGGTGTACCGTTTTGAGGAGGCGCATAATCATTATTGTGAGACTCCAAGCAAGGTTCATTTATTGAAATCACATCGTAATTTGTCTGAAGCAAAGAAGAAGCTTTTCTCGACTATGCAATCTAATAACATCTCAATCCCTCGGGCTATGGGCATATTCATTGCAGAATCAAGCGGAGCGGGTGATGTTGGATTTCTTGAAGCAGACCTAAGAAACTATGTTCGAGATGAGAATGCGAAAGTAAAGGGACAAGATGCACAATTATTTGTGGAGCACTTTATGCTTGAGAAAGAACACAACTCTTCTTTCTTCTACAAGGTTAGAAAAGATAGCACAAATAAGATTGAATTGGCATTTTGGGCTGATCCGACTTGTCGGCGATCTTATCACTTCTTTGGTGACACTGTTGCTCTTGATTCTACGTATAACACTAATACGTACGGATTTCCATTCGCTCCATTTGTTGGAGTTAATCATCATTTTCAGTCCATTCTATTTGGTTGTGCATTCATGAACAAAGAAAATTTTGAGTCGTACCTCTGGATCTTAGAAGCTTTTTTAGAAGCCATGCCCGGACCACCACCAAATGTGATCATTACTGACCAAGATCCTGCTTTGTCCAAAGCCATTGCTCGTGCGCTACCAAATGCCTATCACCGTTATTGCATGTGGCACATTATTCGTAAGATTCCAGAGAAGGTGGGTAGTATAATAAACTCTCTTGAAAGTTTCAGCAAAATTTATTGTATTATTAAATACTCTGAGACTGCCTATGAATTTGAAGCAAAGTGGCAAGGTCTTGTAGATGAAGTTGGGCTGGGAGACAATGAATGGATATCTTATATGTTTCAAGTTCGAGAGCAATGGGTTCCGGCTTACTTCAAGAATGTATTCGCAGCTTCTATGTCATCCACACAAAGGAGTGAAACAACGCATTCATTCTTAAAGAAATTTGTCTACAAGGGATGTAGTTTCAATGAGTTTGTAACTCGCTTCGGTAGAGCACTGTCAAGGCAGAGAGAGCGTGAGAACGATTCTGATCACAAGGATAGAAATGGGCGACCTAAGCTTCAATACGGGACTCAAATGGAGCTACAGGTAGCGAACACGTATACGTCATCTATGTTTCGTGAGTTCCAAAGAGGCCTACATAACTGTTTCACTTATGGCGTGGACGAGAATATAGAGGGGGATATGTCCATTTTGAAGTTAACTTATAGAGGACTCTCAAACGATATCGAGATTAAAAAAAGTCGAATAGTGACAATGAATCGTTTGACACAAATTGGAAGTTGTTCTTGCAAACAATTTGAGTTTATGGGGATACCGTGTGCACACATTCTTAGGGTTCTAGATTGTATGAATATGTATGAAGTTCCTAGCTTTTACATTATTGATCGTTGGAAAAAGGGAACACGAAGGCAAATTGTTATTGATCGTGCAGGGAATGAGATTAGAGAGGACCATCGAAGAGAGGTGACAGGGGGGAATAGCAAGGCATATGATGCGTTTCTTAATGGTTATTATGATCTTATCTCGGAGTCACTGGAGGACCAAGAATTTGGACTTGAACTACTTCAAGAGTGGAGGCAAAAGTTCAATGATCACATGTCCAAAAAGCCAATTGAAAATAACAAATCCAGTAAGGAAATTGAGACGTCTTCTACTGTAGAATATTTGGAGCCCGACCATGCACGTCACAAGGGCTGTGGAAAACGATTAAAATCAAGTATGGATAAGGGGCCTACATTGAACCGACTATGTCGTGTTTGTAAAGGTCATGGTCACGATAAACGTAATTGTCCAAAAAATGCAAAAGGGTAAACATCAACAATTTAATACAATTTATGCATTACATATGCAATCAGTTAAGAAAGAAGTATAAATGTTGTGTTCAAATTATGTATTAAAATGGTTGCTTGTTTTGCAGGGGTGTAGCAATTGGAGCATTTGATGATCACAAGTAGGCTTGTAGCAGACAGAGGAATATATATTAGCCACCTGTGGAATATTGCTTTTTGTCTAGATTGTATGGCTTATTTTTTGTATGGCTTATGAACTGCCTTTGGGGTAGTTATATGTGCCTTTGACCAGGATACATTTTTTGGAAGTTTTTTATCATCAAAATTATGATGTGTTGTTGAAAGACATTGTATTTTATATATTTATAGTGATGGTATGTTTATGAGTTTGAAATTCAGCTTGTGCTTCACTGCTTTGTAGTATCTACTCCTTATTTTCTGGTGTTATAAAATTGGGATAGTAGAGCATATATTAATCATTGAAAGAGAATACATTTCAAGATATTTAAACACTGCTGCATTTTTTGCTTATGTAATACATTGCCATAAGAAATACATCTCAACATATTTAAATAGTGCTGCATTTTTTGCCTAAGTAGTAAGTAGTCTCCAAATATCAAGGTCTGATAGTTACTACACCAGCTATTACACATGTATCAAATACCTCTGGCAGTTAAAAAGTAAAAAATAAAACGGCAACAACTATTTAATTCTTCATGCTTTAATTTGTGTCTCGTGAAAATGGTCTTCGAGCACAACTCTGACTTCATTTTTTATCTGCTTGAAGGAGACGGTTCCTCACTACATAAATGCAATAACACCTTCTTTGCTAATACAACAACATCCACTTCTGTCAAACTGACCTCACCAGGGAATATTGACCAAACAAGACTGAATTCAACCGACCATGCATATTGATCTGGTAGTGTAATATTAATGACCTTCGGTTGCATAATGCTAACTTATAATTATAAAATAAAATAGCAGCAAGAATCTCAGTATTTACAAAGTAGAAAAATAAAGAAATGGAGTATCTTTAAAAAAACCTTAGATTCAAGCTTTTTGCCATATGTCGATATGCTTACCTGATAAATTCCACCAAACTCCAAAAGTTGGATTCATAAGTTAACAAACAACATGTAAAAAAAAAAAAAGTTAAACGCACAATCCAATTACGTTTTGACCTTCGGAAACAAGGATCAATGTCATAGATACCCCTTATACAACATGGAAAAAAACCAGGCCAATCTTAGCGTAATTCGAAAAATTCAAAAAAAAAGAATTAAGAGTAAAACAACCTAAAAATTCATATCTACTTCGCTCACAGTGACAATCGATGGAGAATTTTTCACAATAGAGGAATTTGAAGAGACGAAATGGTATGTTGAGTGTTGACGATGGGGAGATTTGAAGAGGAGAGAGGATACGGTGATGATGGGGTAGTAGGCGCAGTAAAAAAAGAACCCACGCGCTCATATGCAAGATAAAGCCTGAGGAGAGTTTTGTTTTAATGATTGAGAAATCCCAGCCTTTAAAACAAATCGCAGGGCTGATATGCATTTGGCCGGACAAAGTTCGTATCAGGCTGTCCGGATATGAAAGGCACTCTTTTTGCCAAATATATGGCAGTTTTGTGTTACCATTCCAAGATAAATCTGCCAAATGTGTGGAAGATTTGAAATCCATGTTCATGGTAGATTTCAAATGAATCTCCAAGATTGAATCTCTCAACTATATGGCAATTTTTTAGCTAGAGTTGTGACGGCAGCGGTGCTTGGAGGTCGAGTTTCCACTGGTGGTGGTCGGAGGGTGGTGGTGACGGTAGCGGCGGTGGCAGATGGAGACTCCGGTGTGGGAGGCAGTGACAGGTGATAAGGGTGGAGGTATAAAACGCCAGTCAGAGGAGGTGGTAGACGACGGCGAGGGAGGTAGCAGGTGGCGGCGAGGGCAGCGGCAAGGGCAGCGGCAAGTTGAAATTGCGTCAAGGGTGGCTGAAGTTCTCGTGTGAAATTTTAGGGTTTAATGAAAATTTAATTTGACATTTTAATTTAAAATTCAGTTAATAATTGAATGAGGGCATTTTTGTACAAATTGGTGCTTTTAACTCCTATGAAACATAGACACGTTTCTTGGTTCTATTTGTGCACAACAAACTTGTTTTAGTCCTAAGTAGGTCATTAACTCTTAAGAGAAGTATAATAAAACCATAATGCTCGATATGTTCTAAGATGTTAGTAAACTATAAATACTCGTTTTCCTTTATTTTATACAGGATTTGTAAGATTGATGGTGTCATTTTTTTTTTTGTTTAAGAAAAAAAGTTATGGATTGGCTAAAATACGGAGTATATGGGATTTTTGTTGTTCCAGATTTGTCTTGAAGTGCCATATACGAAGTACTTAGTACGGAGTATTAGACATTATATGGGTTGGGCTATTTTTGTAATGGCCCATATGGCAATATTGTGGCAGCTGCCTCAATTGTCTATCTGGATCCGCCTATAGTTCAACACTCCTTAAGCACACAATATAATATTTAATAGGAGCATCCATTATCCATAAAGGGTTCTCTTATACTCCCTCCGTCCCAAAAACAACTTCACAGTTTGACAATCACACAGATTGAGAAAATAAATTTGACTTTACTGTTGGGTGCACTGTTTTGCACTGTTCAAACACTGTTTGACACAATTTGACACTGTTTTGATGTAGATAATTTGCCAATTAAGGAAAGTATTGAAGTGTGAAGTTAATTTAGGGACATCCATTTAAGGAAAGTGGGAAGTTGTTTTTGGGACGGGGGGAGTACTAACTTTTCTATGGGTTGTGGATTGCACACCAAAATGGTTAAAAATAGACTAGACATTTATGTGGTTTTACTATATAACCTCATTCACTGGTACTACTCGTGTACTACAATACTCAATTATAAACCTCATCCATAACTTTGTTAACTATTTTGTTAAATTTGGTTCTTGGTTGCGTTAAAGTGTGAACTAGACTTGCCCAAAAATGGGCCGGTCCTCCCGGTCCGCCCAGCTTACTCACACAATTTGGCGAGCTTGAACATATATATTTACTCATCGGACCCGGTCCGATCCTGCCCACAATAGCATATAGGTGGGTTTGAGTTAGGGTGTATGCCCGTTTTTGCGGGCCAGACCGAGTCGAACCCGACTCAATTCCCGATTTTGTGCAGATCTAATATGACAGTCATCAAATAATTAATAAGTGTTGAAAGTATTACCGCGGCCTTTGAAATAGGTTTGGATACAATTCAATGAAATTGGTTTGGATACAATTCAATTCCAAATTCAAATCCAAATTGATATTGGCCGCCGCCGTCTTCTAATTTTATCTAAAAACTGATCCAGTTGTAAATCTATAAATAAATAATCATACCCAGGATCGGTAGTTGTTGAAGTGATGGTTCATGTCCGGTTATTACAGATTCGACTTCTTTTAGGTATCAATTTTTCGAGAGAAAGACAGATTTACGGGACTTTTTCGTTCGTGTTCCCAAAATACGAAGATGCCTTTTCAATGACAAAAACACGGATGTCGGAGTTCTGAAATCCGACTTTGAGGAAGGGTTTGTTTCCTCTCTCCACTTTCGGAATTGGGAAATCCAAATAGGCATGTGGTTGAACCTCAATGTTATAATAATAATATAATAATATTATTATAATATACGTAAATAATAATATATCGGATTTTGTAAGTTTAGAACATTATTAAATATACAAGTATATGTTAATAGATTTATTATTGTGTAGGTATTACTGGGTCTTATTTATAACCTAAAACCAGTTTTAATTATAAGGTTTAACTATGTCATTTAGTCTCTCAAAATAAGATATATACCCCATTCGTCCGATTTAAAGGTTCTCGTGCACTATTTTTCGGTCTAAGTGAATTGTTCTTAATCTTTTACTTTATATATCCAACTTTTATCAAATTTAATTTTTCTTGATCTGGTATTATAAAATTTTTAAGATAGTTTCTGAATATATAAATTTTATTTACTAAAAGTAATCCTAGACAGAGACCAGTTAACTTTATGGTCAGTAAAACATCGTAATCCGCGTGAGAACCCTCAATTGGGATGGAGGGAGTAGTACATTTTATTTTTATTTTATACTCCCTCCGTCCCATTGGACTTTGTCAATTTTCCATTTTTTGTTGTCCCAAAAAACTTTGTCACTTTCCTATTAAAGCAATTAATTTGTGGTTCCGTACATTTCTCTCTCTTCTGCACAAATATCAACCACACAGTTTTTACTATTCTTATTTCTCATCTACTTTGCACTTGGCAAAGTCCACCGGGACGGAGGTAGTATATGTACTTGTATAAAAAATGTTTTTCGCCCCTGAAATTTAAGGGTGTTTTCTTTTTGGACTGAAATTTGTTATTCTGGTCTGGTTTGGTCTGTCAGAGTCTGGTGTGGTCCGGTCTGAACCGATCTTGTATGATCTGGGTAAATGTCCGATCTCAATATATTTTATAACTATGGAAGTGTGATCTAATCTAGTCTGATCTGTTTAGGTTTGATGTGATCTGGTTTGGTTTGGTCTAGTCTGGGACAAAAAAAAAGTCAAAAAGAAAACATCCTAAGTGTGGTAAAAAATATTTGAAATTTATGTTGGTTTTGTTTTTAGTCAATAATAATGATAACAATCTCTTTTTGATAAAAAAGAAACTCAATATATAGATTTCCTCTAATTCTTTTTCAAGTTATGTAATTTTAATTTTAAGAAGATTTATTCTCTCTAATTCGCCTATCCCCTAAGAAAATCATAAAAAATATAAAAATTTAAATCTGATTGATATGGGACTAAAACCAACCCAAAAACATCCTTATAATATTGAAAAACAAATAATATTAAATATATTATCCAATGGCTAAATGTATACGTAGATTACAAATGATTAAAGAACCATTAAAATAAAATAATAATAAAGAAAAGATGGAATCGGATTCATCTAATCCGAATTTGTAAAATCTTAAAAAACACAAAACGATTTTCGGATTCATGGAATCCAGAATGCCTTCTTTAGTACGTATTCCTCCCATCCCTATTAATTTCGGATTCCCCTCCCACGTTTTTCGTATTCTTAGAAAACCTAATTTTTCTCCCGCATTTTGGCAACTAGTACATGGTTTTCCCGTAAAACAAGAAAACACCCCAATTTTTCTGTTGTGAGTCACCCAAAATTAGATCGAACACCGTCTGGAAATGGTGATCACGGGCCGAAGTTGGAGTAGACCCTCCCTTTCCCATTCTTACTTCAAAGTGAGAATGAAATCCAAAACCGTACACATATTGAGTTCATAATTTGACCTTTTTGTTTTTGATATTTGATTGACCCATTAATTTTATTTTGATTTTTTATCCATTAGTTAATGTACTTTTGTAAATAATGTATAGTAGTAATGAAGTCATGAAGAAATCAAAGATATTGAATGTACACCATCTTACAACATGCGTAGAGCATTGTGTTCAAAACCAAAAAGAAATACTAGTATTAAATACTACGTATAGGCAAGGTACGTATGTATGTGGCAAGAGATCAGATCGAATTTTCAAACTTTGAGAAGCTCCAAATCCCCTAAACACTGCAAGAAATAAAACAAAAAAAGACATTTATAAGTCAATTGAGATGAAATATTATCACCGAGATCGCTAAGTTTTACTCGTTCCGTGTGTATTATATATGTACATTTAATCGAGAGTGTCTCTGATAGTGATGAATACATTTGTCCTTGAAGAGAGGGAGTGATCCTTATTAAGCTAAAGAAGTCGGTATTGTTAAATGTGTACTGATATTATGCATGCAAATGAAATCAAATTAAAATAGTTAAGAAAAAACGTAAGATTGCTTGTAACCGAGCCTAACGCAAGCGTTGTTTCGGTGTTTCCTTAAGACGTTTTTGCCCGACACACGAAGCAAGTGTCTCCCAGGATAGAACAGTTCTTCGTTTCCAACGGGATTCCGGCGAACTCATCAAAGATGCAACGAATGAAGAGAATATGGAGGAATTGTTTTTGAGTTTTCGGATCCCAAAATTGAAGACAAGACATGTATTTATAGAGCTTTGGCCAGAAGTCTCTAACCCAAAAGGCACCTATTTAAAGAAAATTCATGACCTTTCTTTTAAAACGGATAGGTGTGTCTTTTCTAGTTTAGTTTATCCGAAATAAGGAAATAAAAAACATAGCAAAAATTAATTTCCAGTCTTTAGCCATACGGAGGTGTTCGGTGAGACTCGAACCTGATCCGATTGACAACAGCGGTGTGTGCGTGTTAAATATAATTTCACGCTTATCTTTCGGGGCAACAATTTCTCATTCATTTCAAAATGGATTTTTTACAAATAATATTAATCACCATAATATTAATTTGTAAAAGCATTTTTCCAACATGTATCTCACAAAGATAAAGTTATACTCGTAACTATATTCCCATAAAATTTTCGTTCACCGAAGTAAACTTATGTTTGTACTCCGTATAATTTTATGTCATTGACAACAAAAAATATTATCAATATAAACCAAAAAAATCTATTCTATTTTATTTTCGTAGACACAACAACAATCACAAAGACATACTCTCATCTTGTATGTGTGTAACACCTCAGTCTGTGATAATAAAAATTCTTAATGTACAATCCTAGGGGCATAGTTAAAAATGTTCAATATAACACATCAAATAACATATAGGGCTAATTGGAAAATTCCTTAAATATTGATAAAATATTGATAAAGCGTACAAAGAGAATCATCATTATTTTCTTCCTAAAATAAGATTTGTTCACTCCTTAATAGAACCTCATTTGTTTTCTACCAGTGTGTGATTACACACAAATTATATCTGTCTAGGTAACTGTTCGATCTAGCTAGTCAGTTTTGTGATGTCTCGGAGATGAAATGTTAATTGTTATTCTTTTTTATTTGGTCATTTCAAAATTAAAGGGTGAAATTCAAAAAGGGAAAATTCCACATCTTTTGGACTTTGGTCATAGACTATAAGTAATGTCACTAATTTTCCGATTATTGTCCGCTACCGAAGTGGAAAATTGTAAGAATATGCTAGGAGTAACGAAAGTGTACTGTGACCAATAAATTACATTGTCTGAATCGGTATATGTAAAATCTTTTTATCAATATTTTTTGTCAATGTTTTTGCCAATTTGAAGTGGATTGCTCATGAGTGTCGTGACCAAATTTTACATTATTGCACATTAAGGACCATCGAAGAATTATGAATTGAGGCTATTACCAATGGAATGCATATGTTGTAAGTATGATTCACAAACGATATGTTTGAGGAATGAGTTTTCATTTTATCATAAAAACAACCGGTTGACAATAGTCGGATTATTATTATTCTGTTTTTCCTTTCTTTTATTGTTACACAAGTATAAAGAGAATCTCTTTAAATACTTCCTCTGTTTTCTTAAAAGTGTATCAATTAAGTTTCACTACAAAAAACACGAGATTGACACGGAATTTTTGATGGACGGAAGAAAATATGGGTCAAATTTAGACAAATGCACATACTTTGTTTTATTGGTGTTAATGCATCAAACTCTTTTGTGATATAGAAATTTGGTGCATTGGGCACATATGATTTAGAAAATGCATCAAACGTGTCACCTTGTGTTATTATTAATCATTCGAAAAATTCCTTGTATGAACAAATTTAATCGTTAAATAAAACAATGAATAACCTTTTTGTATAGTAAAACAATGAAAAATTAACTTGCATATTCAATCATAATATTAAAAAAAGTGATTTTAAAATTGTTAAATTTATTCTTAAAAAGAATTCTTCGCATGAATAATTGTAGCACAAAGAATTTTAGCGCATTTTTTAAATCGCAAAGAACTGATGCAGTAAATTTTTATATCACGGGGGTATAGTGCATTAAACACCTGTTTTCTTGATAAAAATGAGAAATTAAGGAACATGAATATAATTACCTTGAACAGTCCATATGTTGAGAAATGGGGAAACTGAGGTGAATCCCACACTCCTTGTAGATCCCACGAATCCGAGATTCAAGGAGAGATGGACGCAAGTCCTCGATGCACTGACAGATCCTACGTGGACCTTCCTCTCTCGCGATGCAGTTGAGAGCTTCCAGGTTTGTGCAACACGTCAGCGACGGCGAGTCTTCCGCCCCACTCAGGTAATCCAAACACGACGGAAAACGGCACCTCACGTCTTCGCACCGGTGCCTCTCTTCCATGCTCGGCGGCGGCGGCGGCGGTGATGGGAAGTAGTATTCCATACCTGAATTTGAATCGCCCCCCTCGCCGTCGTCGAGGTACCACGCCTTGGAAGTCTCCGCGTAATTGGAAATCACAAGAAACGCTGAAAGTGAAAGATAGTAAAGAAGTTGTTTGGATGAAGAGGCCATTATATTTGTGCTTATTCTTTTTTTGCGATGAAATTATTATTGTTTTGATCAAGATGCATGGGAAACTTTGTGTGTATTTATATAGACTATAATACGGAGTAATGTTGAGGGGATGCACTTTTAATTAGTTTCTTCGGCATGCTTTTGTTGTAGCATAACGTAACAAACGCAATTAATTAATACACGTCATTTATTTAAATTATTATACTCCCCATTCCGAAAGTCAAATTGATTTTTCTTGTTCAATGACAATAAACTTTGATCACAGATATTTTTAATATGAAATTATTTTGAATATGAAAATTATACAAAGTACTCCGTATGAAAATGCTCATTATTCAAAATATTTATTAAAAATAAATCAATATGACAAATCTTTTTGGGACAGAGGCAATACGTAGTAATAATAATACGAGGTACGTATTATGTACCACAGAACATTGCATACGTGTAGACGTTGTACTACTAAACATGGCATACTTCTAGACGTCAGTATACGTTATTGCGAATTGAGTATGCTACTAAGGATGTTTTCTTTTGGACTGAAATTTGCTGGTCTGGTCTGGTCTGGTCTGTTTAAGTCTGGTCTGGTCTGGTCTGGTCTGTTTAAGTCTGGTCTGGTCTGGTCTGGTCTGAACTGGTCTGGTCTGGTCTGGTAAACGTCTGGTCTCTGTGTATTTTATAACTACGGAAGTCTGGTCTGGTCTGGTCTGGTCTGGTCTGTTTAAGTCTGGTCTGGTCTGGTCTGGTCTGTTTAAGTCTGGTCTGGTCTGGTCTGGTCTGTTTAAGTCTGGTATGGTCTGGTCTGGTCTGTTTAAGTCTGGTCTGGTCTGGTCTGGGACTGAAAACAGTCCAAAAGAAAACATCCTAATAGCCTCATTTGACTTTTTCAAGTCAATGGTGTCTAATTTGACTGATTATATATTTATACACATAACAATGATACTATGAAAATGTTCTTGGTAAAAAATACTAACATAAGAGCATAAAATTATCAAATTTTACATAAATATATCAATTAGAATGATTGGTCAAACTTATCATATTTAACTGAAAAAAGTCAAATATAACTAAATAAAAAGGAAGGAAGATAGGATACTCAAGTAATGGAAACATAGCTTGGATTAATGGATAAATAACTTTAAATAATATGCACTATTTTGATTTGTTTAAGTTTTTATTAATACCATTGGTCATTAATTAATGAAGATATTTCCTTCCAAAGTTTATAACTTCAATAAGATTAAATAATATTTAGTTTTAGAAATAATATTAAAATTGATCTGATGATATTTTAGGTTTTAGATCGATAGATTTCAATCATTCAGAACCGGCATCGATACGTTTTATCTTTCAGATCCTTGTTGATAATGAACCTATCTTTCATGTCTTGGATTGATAAAAGAGTTTTTGTCACTTTTAGTCCTCCGATTTTTATGTCACTGGCATTTTTATTACTCGACTTTGAACTCATCCACTTTTAATTCTTAACTATATTGAGTGAAAGACACTTTTAATCCTTCAACTATTATAATAGTGACATTTTTGTCATCTACTTATTGTATCGAAATCAGTGGAAAGACTAAAAAGTGTCGATTTGATACTACATAGGACTTAATTAAGGACTTAAAGTGAGAAACTTTGAAGATGAAGACTAAAAGTGTCTCTCATAAAATAGTCGAGGATAAAAAAAAGAAAATATTGAAAGTCGAGTATCAGAAGTGTCTCTGACACAATAGTCACATCGGGGGAGAAAAATAATAAAAACGTGAAAAACTAAAATAAAATAAAATAAATAAAAAAAATAAAAATAAATATTTAAAACAATTTTAAAAAGTCTAAAACATAAAATTAAATACCTAAAAAATATTTAAAAAATATGTTGACCACTGCCATCGTGTCCTTCACCTCCCATCACCACTAGCTCCGGTCGCATGGGAAAAATGCCATCTTGTGTAAAAATGTCACATTCCTCTGAAAATGCCATGAAGATGACATTTTTACAATTTGCAAATATTCAGCTTTCTTTTCAAAATTGCCATCACGATGACATTTTTTCTTCAACTTGGTATTCTTTTTAGGCGGCCGGAGGTGGCGGTGCTGGAAGGTGACTAGGGTGGTGGTTGAGGCCCGTATATTTTCTATTTATTTTTTAAGTTTTTTTATGTTATTTTTTAAATCCTATTAAAAATGATAAGGGAAAGGGTAGAATTGGAAGAGTTAGTCCTATTTTGGAAATTTAAACTTCAATCAATTTTGCTACTGCGTATTATTTAGTCATATTTAGATAAATCTCTCGATATAAATTTACGAGTAACTTTCTTTTAATACAAGCTAAATCACATTAACGTAAGTGAAAGACACAAATATATATATATATATATATATATATATATATATATATATATATATATATATATATATATATATATATATATATATATAAATCAACAGATGAGTTGTATCTTGCCCGAATTAATTAAAGCATAAGGCGTACTTACCTGAAGTAATATTCATTCAAAAAATTGTAACAACCTTGTAATTACTATACATATACTTAGGCACTTAGCATTTCAAAACTATGACGAGATAAATTGGTTTTAATTTACTCCATTAGAAGTATATATATATATATATATATATATATATATATATATATATATATATATATATATATATATATATATATATATATATGACTATATTGTCAATGCATCTAGCTACATTGATGATCTCTAATTAAAAACTAATCAATTTTTATGTGATTCTTACCTGTTAGTTATTATCCTAACATATTTAATTTTTGTAACAATGTTTAATTTCAATTATGACTCATGTCCAACTATCATCTTTAGTCAATTGACATAAATTTTTGTCAAGGATTCGCCAAAATTCATAGAAGAATTGGTGGATATCATATCCGTGTCAAAAAACACTTTGCACGAGTTACATGGCACAAAATTATTGGTCAAATTGTGTGAAATCTGTGTCATTCCTCTAACTTTTTTTTTAAGTGAATATAAATAATCTATGTCACTCACTTTGCTCCTCTAAAAAACAGCCGCATTCCCAATCTAATCTCTGGCAACGGCGAGTCTTCCTCTCCACGTGCAAGCTGTTGCGTATGACCTAAAAGACAATATGGAGTGCATGAGCAAGAAGATTCGGTAGAGGGGCCGAAATTAACAAAGCATGCACACTGCGTGTGAGACAAACATGTACGTAGTAATTAATTAAGAGCCGTAGCCAAATATATACCATAATATGTGGTTATATATGTGTCGATCATTAAGACCCGTTGGCAAATATATCCGTGGTTCAAATTTGCTTAATTCGGAGGAAAGAAAAATATTTTTGAACTATTATTTTAATTTTAAATAATTTTTTTATATAACTAGGAAATTTGATTAAAAAAAATTATTGGACAGTATATACGTAGTAGAACACTATAACTTATCATAAACTTGCTTCTTTCGTCCTATAAAACCTTATTTTGTTTAAATTTTTTATCCAAACATAAAGGTCATATTTTGGAATTCCAAAACGTTTTTACCCCTATTCAGGACACTTTCTATTACACGAAAAGAATTTAACTGACCTGGATGGCTGGATAACAAGTCTAATGTGGTTTTACTTCCCTTTGGAATGACATATGGAGTAGAAATTTACTTTTTCCTATTAAGTCATGTTTGAATTTAGATATTTATCTATATAAGACTGTTTTCTTTTGTATTGAATAAACAGTTTGAATCAATTTAATATTATTATTGATTTATTGGGTTATATATATTATTGATGAGCTATTCCATAATCAATTCCGAAAATTGGTTGAATAGACATCGTAATAGGCGTATTTAGGGTGGACCCGGTCTTGATCCCGAATCGAACGATCGCTGTTGTTGGTAGGCGAAGCCCGGATCACACCTGTTAAATCCGGGTCTGGGCCAGTTCCGGGTACCCCGGGCAGTCTGGTCCCGGTCTGGACCCGGTCCCATTCTATTTTATTCGTTTACCCCCATTTCTAAGCCAAATAAGCCAATCATGGACCAAAACCAGGACCAAAATCGCCATGTTCAATCCCCAAATGGGTGAACCCGGGACCAGGTAACATACTTGGGCAGACTCTGGGCGGTCGCGGTCCCAAATCAGTTTTCTGAATCCGGTCTGGTCCCAAATATTGTTGGACCCAATTCCGGACCGAACCAAACTCGACCAGGTTCACTCATTGGCACAATTAGCTGAAAAGATACTTTTATGAACTTTTTAAAAACTATTAGATTTTTAATGACCGAAAAGATCTTAAAAGAAAAAGGTAGTGGTTGTTTTAATAAAAAAAAAGTGGCGGTTTGATATTATGATATAGTTCTGCTTGATGTACAAACTGTTGAAACTAAATAATACTAGTATTAAAAACTACACTGCTCTCAGATGCTACTCACTTAGCATCTCAAAACGATCTTTTGTTTTTGGAAAAGCTCTTAAGAATTGACATGCCAAAAAACAACTAAAAGCTTTTAAATAGTACTCCATTTGTCCCGCTAAGAAGTTCTCGGTTTGACTTACAGAGTTGCACACATATTAAGGAAATAAACTTACCAGTAGGTAAATTTTACTGTTTTGACACTGTTTCGACACTGGTCGACACTGTTTGGCACTGTTTTGATGTAAATAATTCTCCATTTAAGGAAAGGGGAACTTTTTTGTACTGCTAAAAAGGGAAAGCGAGAACTTCTTAGCGGGGCGGATGGAGTATAAATTAGAAGATAGCGGGGCGGATGGAGTATAAATTAGAAGATAGGAACTTATGTCTATCAAACATGCACTAAGTTAGTTTTTAGCGAATGAATAAACCATACTTTGAATTAAATCGTAAGTAAACATAATTTAAGGACAAAAATTGTTACTTTCATCAAAATCCATTAAACCGAAAGTAGTAAATAACCCTTAATGTTCCTCTTTATCATGCACAAAGTAGTTCCATTCCTCATCAGTTGCATTTATTTGGGCGTTTACGTTGACCGGTAATCAGGATTTTTATGAAACCAACAAAATCCTGCTGCTCTCAATGTCTTATTGCTGTCATAAATTCTTAAGAGATTATTACCATTATTGCCCACATAAAGGGCGTCCCAATCACACTGCTTCTGTCATCGATCACATCATTTAAATATTTCTTTCATAAATAAACCATCTATAAATATACTACGTACATTTCTACAGGTGGTTAGCTCTCAGTCTCGGCCACGGGCGGATGGTTATTTGTGGTGCTTTTCTAGTTTTACCCCCCTGCTGAATGCTATTTTTATGAATTAAGCATTCTTCGAGCAAAAAAAAAAAAAATATACTACGTACATACTTAGCCTCTTGGACCAAAACACCAAACATATAGCTACTGGCGTGGGAAAAAAAGAAAACTCAGCGAAATATTTCAAATATATAATATTATATATATTATATTTAAGATAAAGAAAAGCAAAAAGACCAGTGTTTTCAGTGTTGTTCCAACCATCTCTTATGGTCTTTAGGTAGTGAAATACTCCTAATCCAAGGCGCACATGTTGGTCTTGTTTTGCATGTATCCTATCGCCTGTGAAACAAACATATTCATGAGAACTGCAAGCAAGGTGAAACGGAAAACTGGAAAAGCCAAAACACAAAAAATGAGGCAACAAACATTTTTTTAAATTATAAGTAATCATGCTATAGATAACATCTCAAACAAGTTGGATTATCATTCTCTACACTTACCAGATCCTTAGTAGAATGGAAGTAATTGGAGCTAATCACAGCCAAACTTTCTTTGCCCTGCATACTTTGCAGCTCACTCTTCGAGTTTGAAGGGTTCAGCATGGCCCTACATTCGGTGCCTTTCTCTTCCAATGGAATTGTTTCAATGTATTCTTCTCCTAGTACTTTTACCTCACCAGCAATATGACTATGCTGAACCGAAAAAATGATGCAGAAGGCATTATTATTACTACATATACGTCATTACACGAGTGTCCTCATATTAAGACGTGGGTTTATTTACTTCATGTCAGTGTGATAGGAATTAGGAAAAGCAGCATAATTTGTTGATGTATGTTTGTTTCTTTTATTTGGCATGTGTAGGATAGTTTAACACTCTGTCCTAAGCAATTAAAGTTATTTACTAATCCTATAAAAATTATTCTTACGTCTCTGATGTCATTAATTGACAACTTTGAATCACGGCAAAGGGAGGGCTTATCCAAACCCGGTGTATCTTCTACATTTATAGGAACAAGCTGGACGTGGCTATCCTGCTGTAATAAAAAGAAAGAACATAAATATGAAAGTAATGAAACTATGAGACAGCAGTATGTATGTGTACAAGTGAGCAATCATGATCAACTGAACAACCGGTTACACATCAAACAGCATATATAATATATTATACCTGACAATCAATGTTTATATATCCGGTCTTAGAAGAGTTAGTTAACTTGGATAACCGGTTAGCACGAACATTTCTGCTGCTACTGGAGTTTCCATGTCGGATATGACTCCTCACGCCACCTCTTCCCCAGGTAAATGCTTCAGGCTTTAATACAGGAGAGTCATCTTCTTGATTTTCTCCGATTCTATCAGTTGAAGTTTCCCTGTATCCATCTTCTCCAGGATTGATGGTGGCCGACGGTGATGCATGATAAGTCTGGTCGGATGGAGTTCCTGCCGGTCTCCTTGTGGGCTTCACTGGTGTTCCGTGTTCGTCAGATGGGGTTTTATGGTCAGGATCACCTTCGCTCTCATGGTGATCAGATTGTTGAGGTTCACCGGTTTGGCTGCTTCTCCTTCTTCGTCTTGAATAAGCATTCTGATATTTACGAGATCCTTTAGGCGTGGATGTTGTAATTGGCTCTTTATTCAATTTCCGCCTCTTGTTTAATGCTTCAGATTGGCGCTGACAAACTTGAGCAATAGATGCTTGGATCTGTGATATATAACATTTGAATACTCATTTACCCTTTCATGGTTGGGAAGAAATAGGGACGAGAGGAGGGAAGAGAGAAATGTATTCTTTCTTTTCAATCTCTACCAATATCTTCTTCATTTTTCAGCTAACAAACATGTCACAAATTCCCACATATGTCCATAACTCCTCAATCTTCATCCAGGCATTCAGACTTGTTACTTCTCTTACCATGCTTTCCCCCTTTTAATAAATAAATTTCTTGCCAAATATGCAGTTCATAACCCATTTATAAAGGTTAAAATTTTAAATCTGCAATATGCTTTTTTCTTATTTTACACTGTGAAAAGAGTAAGAAGATCACACGTAAAGATTTAATGTGAAGGTAATATATGCAAGTTTCAAACATCTATACAGAATACGAATATGAGACTGATTCTAACCTGCTGATTAAGTGCCATCTCATCTTCATGAAACACTAGTTCCTGAAATGAAGTGTTAAATAGAAGAGGAACCTTAGAAGTAAGTACTGAGTGAACAAAGAAAGAAATTTATCTATTTTATGTTTTCCCCTGCCAATCCCTCAAGTCTTGGTAAAAGGAAGAGGGGCCCTATTGACAACAGCGAGCTAAAATCTAAATATAGAATTACCTCCTCTTCATACTTCTCAACATCTGGATATATTGCCTTGATAAGTGCATCAAATCCTGGATCATCTCTCAAAGAACGCCGACTAGCACAGTGTATGCGACAAGCAGGGCATTCATTGTTCCTAAATATAGGTAGCTACAGTAAACCATATGAACTGGACCATACTGAATATTTCGTATATGAGCAATCCTATTTGACCCATTAATGATGCATACTTTGACACTAGACTAAAACTAGAAAGTTGTATAGAAGTATTTTTTTACCCCAATCTCATTGACTTGTCAATGCACTCCCTGCAGAAACGGTGTTGGCATCCCATCACAACCCGGGTTCTCTTGATGATACCTGATATGATATGTTGCTAAATTACACGATTCTAGTTCCCCAACAAAATCTATAGCACAAAATCCAAGTTTGTCTCAACATGGACTGACAAGATATGTTGCTTGCTGCTCTTGGAAGCAGCCTTTCGCGCATTCGAAAGACGAGAGAAGCAAAAAATGCTACAGTTATATAGTATAAATCATAAAGGCGTGTTGACAGTTTGAGTACCAAGGCGACATGCAAGTATAACACTAAAGCCTAAAGTGAAGAAGAGACTATAAATCAATATTTCACTGCATAAAACTTCAACCATGAAAAGTATCTCGCACTAACTCTAGCAAAGTCTGAAACACTATTTAAAAATGTAAAATAGGAAATTTGTGGAGTACCTAGGCATATTGGACATTGAACGTTACTACGAATTGCAGATCGTGACACAGAAATCAGCCTGCATAAGAAGTTATAGATTAGTATGGATGCCCAACTATTAGTGAAACTTTAATAAGGTCCGACACATAAATATAACCAAGACAAAAAAAAATATTGCTTATGCTAACAGGACTGTAATGAGGTTCTGATGGTTTTTATTTTGGCGGTGGCCTGGTGGGCAAAGAGTACAACCTATGACCTGTCATGTCTTGCACAGTGAACAACTGCATGGGCCAAATGAAGCTGCAAAATTTTGAACAACACTAGCAGAAAAAAGACAAATGGGCTCATTTTGTTCAATAAGCCTCCATATAGTTGTTCAGTGATTTGGTCAATACCCAAAAGATAAGAGCAAAAAAATAAAGTGCAGCTTCCTCAACCAACAACAGGTTATAGATATGACTGCAGATATCTCTAAACTAGTGCAGCTTAACTCTGAACTTTTATCATAATACTATGAATGTATCAAGGCAGAAGAGAGGCTATGTACAGAATAAATTAAATAAAAATCCAAACATAAGCCCAAAAAAGAAATGATGGTGCCAGCTGTATCCTTAAAGGCCACTACTCTTACAAGGAATGTAGAATAACAAGTGAGCATTAGCTACTAACTTAGCTTTTTAGACTTTTAGGTGCACCCAAAGTGTAAAGTCATGTGCAATAACTTTTAGCATATGGAATAAAACAATGTAGTCAATGTCATCTCAGGTTTGGCACCCTTGAATCCTTGAGGCATATCAAAACAGAGTCTTTACTCAGAAATGATTATTTATACTGTCAGAATCACTTACTCAAGTCCCAAACAATAAATGAAATGGTAACTCAGGTTGCTTGTAAAAAGATTTTTCAGGTTTTAGAAAGCACTTAGAGATTAACGATATGCGTGATAAGATCTTGAATAGAGTGGAAACATATTAATAATTACATAAACTGGGGGAAAGAGTAGTATAATGTTCTTTCACAGTACTCCTTTTACAGATTGGAAGAGGAGAATAAGGTAAAGATATGATCTTCAGGATATGTTCTTCCAAAATGGTTCACTGTTCACAGATTGAAGATGAGAATAAGGCAAACTGACAAAGATATGATCTTTATGATAGATCTCCAACAAATGCAAGATAAATATTATCTGGATATATCAAATATAAACTAGAACTAGATGCCTTGCTAAATGTTTAGGTATGCAAGATGCAAGATGCAAGATGTCTGCATACATGCCTCAAAGTGAAGAATTATATATCATCAAGTCCCTAAACCCCTAAGTATTTCCGGCATTGCTTCGTAAATCTTTGTATAAAAATGTTTATTTCATATTTAAGAGTGTACGCAAGCTTCACAGATTAAATGGTAATATGAAGACACGAAAAACTAAACATGAAAATCAGCCGTGTGAAGTTAAGTGACCTAGGGACTTGATGTTGCTGAACTGGAGCAAGAATGTACACAATCAATACTTGAGTGGAGAAAACTACCAAAAGTCACCACATGTTGAGCTTGCACCTGTGTGACAGGCCAGCTATGTGATGTGTATTACTTGAAACTTGGAAACATGTGATCATGTGGTCGAGTTCTTCTACTCATGAACATAATATATTTCGCTCCTCACATTAATGTAAGTTTTTTTATGACAATAATGTGTCCATTCAGTTCTGGAATATATTCCTTTTCTGCTGAAATAATGTCAAAATTATTCTACCCCAACTCCTGTCCGTCTTTCCATGGGGCTGGAAAACAGAACTGTGAGATTGTGATTGGACTAAGGAAAGGGAATTCAAAGAAGTGAATTATTGGAGTTTAAGGAAGTGCCACAGCAGGGTTTCCAAATTTAAAGTCGGATGTTTATAGGAATGAAGAACTGTCAGCAATGGCAAAACCTGCCAGTAGTATCATCCAATACTTCCATGCACATAAATCGAGCAGAATGTTACATGTAAGCTCAGTCCAATTTGAATCCCACACAGAAGAGTCAAAAGATCATAAACTCAAAATAAATAACCTCAATCAATGCACAACTTTGCACATAGATGGCAATTCAGAAACTTGACTCGTGCAACAAAAAGTAAACAACTTTCCTCAGGAAGCAGCAAATTGTAACATAAAACAAACCCAGAAATCATAAAAGATCGACAGTCACTTCGAACCAAGCAAACAACATAGGAAGAAGAAAGGGCGGAGAAGAAGAAGAAATGGCACACTGGCTTGTCAAAACAAAACCATGCGTGCATGTTAATGGGAATAGATATATGGGAGCAGGGACAAGAAATTTACTCGTCAAAGTCTTCAGGATCAGTTCCACTCTCATCAGAATCTGAAAATCGAATTGAAAACAAAAGCAAATTGTCAAAGCAGAAACTGGGACGAGACGAAGCATTTACAGCTCCGCGAGAATACATATACATGTTGGGTCCGGCGACCGGCGTAAATGTACAGATTGGGAGTGAGCGTGCGTGTATGTGTAAGATATTCTCCAACAAATCCATCACCTTCCTCAGAAGATTGCCTGATCGATTCATGATCATGATTCGGCATCTGCTCCTCTTGCTGTACTCGTTCCTGCTCTTCAGCTCCTTGCTGGATTTGTTCCCGCACTTGCTCTTCTTCCGGAGGTTGCTGGATTCGCTCGGCGCCACCACCGCGACGTCGAGATTGCTTTCCGCGGCGGCGTTGATTGCGACGGTGTTGAGCCTGAGAGAAGCTCTCGTCCTCGTCTTCTTCATGAGAATTCGACGAATACCGCTTCTGAGCCGGCATTTCTCTCGCCACTACGGCCACCGCTTTCTCTTTTACAGATTATTATCGGCTTCTCCCCCGCTGCTACCTATATGTACATAACTTGTGTGTATGTGAATCATAAACTTGGAAGCTGTAATCTATACACACAGCTGAAGATATTCAAAGGAAAAGCGAAGCTGGAGGAAGCAAATTGACAGGAATGTAAGTGTATACTGAGTCTCTATCTTTCTACAGAGAGATGAAAGGGGATGACTATACGCAAGATAGAGCTTTTACCATCACTATATATACTCCTCTGATGCAGGGATTATTTTTGTGATGTCTTCTTTATTTTTGGTCTCCTGTTCGAGGGGGTTTGGTAAATTCCATGGAAATTGTTACGGAGTATGGTAAAAATTTAATGCACCAACAGGGAATTTAGGATTTTAGGACAATTTACTTAAATTGTTATTTGTTTGTCTAGTTTGTTTAAGTATGGTCTAGTTGAACTGGTGTGATAAATGTCGTCTCTGTGCATTTTATTACAAAAGTTTGGTCTGTTTAAGTTTGATCTTGTCTGTTTAAGTCGGGTCTGGTCTGGACTGAAAACAGTCCAAGTAAAAACATCCTTAGTTTTAAAGTGTTCAGTTATTGAAATAGTTTTTGTCTCTTAGAGTATTTGTTCCATGATAAGTGTAAATGTTATTCAGAGTATCTGTATTATTATTGATTGGGATGAGACTCTGAACTATTTATATTCTCTTTTAAAATATTATACTACTTTTGTCCCACTAACAATGAGATAAGAGAGAATGACACGTAAATCAATAAAAAGTTGTTATGGGGTTGATATTAAATTGATAAAGTAAGAATAAAGTAATAATGATTTAGGAAGTGTTTGCAACAGCTTCTGCTTAAAAAGTTGATAGTGTTTGAGAAAAAAGTGATTTTGAAAAGTAAAAGTTGGTAGTGGTTGTTAAAATAAGTGATTTTTGTGTAATAGAAAAGGGAAAAACACTTTTCACGAAGCCGAGAAAAGTAAAAATTGGTAGTGTTTGGTAAATAAGTGTTTTTTAAGCCAAAAGCCGAAAAGTGCTTTTTTTAAGTTGTTTCAAACCAACCCTTAGAGTCACACAAACTTTACCAAATTTGGTATGTGAAAATCTTAGTGAGACAGACCGAAAAGGTAAAATGAGACAATCACAATGTATTTGGCAAAATGAGGATGACTATTTAACCTGACGCGACGGATACCCGCATTGAACCGAACCGATCAAAATGGGGGAAATCGTGTTGACTGGGTAACGGGTATGGAGCGGAGAATACCCGATTTATGTAAACAGGTAATGGGGTGAGTACGGTTTTATATTTACTTCAATAGAATATATATTCATTATATATTATGTAAATAATTCTTATATCAGGTATATACGATATAATTTGTAAAATGTATAAAGTATCACTTGTGCGAAAATAGATTAGTTTGTGTGGTTGTTGTAATTTTCTATGTAAAAGATTAGTTTATTTTCTTTCACTTTAGTTTTGATTAGTTTGCGTAGTTGCTATAATTTTCTATGTAAATGATTTAAAAGTTACTAAGTGGTGCTATGGTTTTGTTTGTGTACATGTGTAATACTGTAATTGTTACAATTACTTTGTAATTATATTTTAACTTCATTGTTGTGATAAAGTTTGATTTGATTTGCGGGGCTTATTAAAAAACAGTGGTCAATGAATAATTAAGTTATTGTTTGTTAGTGATATTATTTTAGAAAACCAAATTTTCTTTAAATAATGTGGTTACCCACGGGGAAAACTGTTTCCCGTTCCAATCGGATACAGTTCTAGTAAAAAAAATACCCAATGGGTACGGGGATTATATATCAAATAACGGGCCGGGTACGGATAATGGTATAACCGACCCCGAATCGCCCCGCTGCTATCCCTAGTGTTTTTAATAAAATAAAAATGTGTTTTTAATATTATTTCTAATTGTTCCCTGGTATAAACAAATTCCATAAATTGTTCCGTGGTATAAACAAATTCCATAAATAAAAGAAAAATGTGTTTTAACATTTTTTCTAGCCAATGGATGGTTTGCATGAATTGTTTTATATACTATCTCTGTCCCAAAGAGATACTTCCTTCGTTCTTAAAGAAATGCAACGGTCAACATTTCACACTTGCCGAGACACAACTTTGACCATTAATATAAATGATTTTGTATTAGTAAAAAAATTTTAAAAAAAAATAGATTATGAAAATTTACAATGAGACAAGTTTAACAATATTTTTTTCATAAAATAATATTATTACGTTAATAAATAAAACGTAATCAAAGTAGAACATGTGAATATTGTAAAAGTCAAAGTGTTGCATTTATTTAAGAACGGAGGTAGTATGTCATATTGACTTTTATTGGTCAATGATAACAATGTTTGGATAATGATTTTAATTATATTTATTAATTTATACTTTATGAAAATATTTTTAATAAGGAACAATTTATTATAATTCTCATATTCAAAATAATTTTGTATTAAAAAATATCATTGATTGAAATTGGTTATCATTGACCAAGAAAAAATTCAATTAGTCAAACCTTTTTGAGACAGAGGGAGTAATAAAGTTCAGTTATAAAACTTTAATGTGTCATCTTTTATAGACTTCTAACAATATTTATTAACATTGTGACAATCATTATGTAATTCGTTAAATGTCCAAATGCTTATACTCCCTCCGTTCCAGGGAGAAGTTCCCACTTTCCTTTTTTGGTAGTCCCAACAAAAAGTTCCCATTTCCCTAAATGGAAAGTTATCCTACATCAAAACAGTGTCAAACAGTGCAAAACAGTGCCAAACAGTGTCGAAACAGTGCCAAACAGTGTCGAAACAGTGCCAAACAGTAAAATTTACCCCTCAGTAACTTTATTTCCTAAATATGTGTGAAAGTCAACCCGGGAACTTCTCCCTGGGACGGAGGGAGTATATTTTAAAAGTAATTTGTACTTTTATGTCATAATATTTAAATAATTTGTAGCATCTACATGGCATGCTTATTAGTTGGACTCGACATCCAAACATATTATAAGCTATGGTTAAAATTTAATACTTGACTATATATGCATTAATATATTGATATTGAGTAAAGATATTATAAGAATATAGTATAAAAGAAAACATATGCATAATATGATTATTGTCCAAATATTTACATTAAAAAATCTTACACAGCAATTTCATTATTATTTAATTTAACTATACACAACTCTAATAAATAACTACAATATACTTCCTCTTTCCCAAAATACTTTGTAAGAATGGCTCAAGGGGTTGGCTGGTCATAAAGTTAATTATACAGTGATAACTTTCAAGCTAGCGATAGTAATAAAAATTATATATCAAGGAATTTTATCAAAAGTTCAAAACCGCAAAAAATAAAACTAAAAGTGATTACAAATTGAACCTAAAAGTATAGAATAAAATGTTATTGTATTGTTCAAGAAAACGAAAATTGAAATTATTTTTAACTTAAAATAAATAATAAAATAAAAACAAAAAATCGAGTCGAGCACGATATAATAAGATACCATTTTAAAATCCAGACAAATTAATAAAAAACAAAACAAATCTCACAGTAATATTTAAATAAAGGGAAAAGATTGGACACAATCTGTCAAAACGTCGCCTAAAGAAAACTCCAATTCAATATACTTAAATCAATTCTCTTACCATGATTTCATGACTCCAAATTTACTTGGGACATTATAAAACACATGATTGATTAAATGTGGAAAAAAGTTATCATGGGTGAGGTTAACTTTGTAGTATAAGGCAGATATCTCAACTAATTTGTCACAATAAAAATGTTTATAGGGAATTTCAACTTCTTTGAAATACACACACTCAGGGGAGGGGCAATCTTGGCCCTGCCTCACCCCAAATTTTAAAAATGTCTATATTTTTTGGCGTAAAAAAGTCTGCATAAAATATTTTCCAAAGATATTTTTTGTACCGGCCCAATTCAACCTAGTGTCTGCCTCTGTCCCTGCACACTTTCTCTCTCTCCCTTCTCTCAATGTAAGATGCATTAGATTTGGCGCAGGTTACAAATGATAAAGTGAATGTTTATGATTTTAACAACCAAAAAGTAAATAAATAATAATATGAGTTCACAAATAGTAATAAGTGAAGTGGTAGATAAAATAAAGTGAGAAAATGAAAAGCAATGAAATTGAGTTGAGAAAAGCATTCTGTTTTTGTACAACTCAAAGAGAAATATATTTTACGAAATGAGACATAGAGAGTAACAAAATATGTGGAAAATTACTATGGATTAAAGTATAAATATATATTATTTCAATTTAACAAATCTGAATTTATATTTGATTGTGATTAATTAGTTTTTATTAGACATTCTTTGTAGTTCCTTCATTTGCTGTAGTTGCCAAAGAACTACTTTGAACGTCAATATATTTAATTCTTAATTAGTAAAAAGAATTTAAAAACGTATTTTAAAAATTTGTAATGAGACTAATTTGACAAAATTTTCCCAAAAAAAACTCATACATTATTAAATAAGATGTAGTCATGATATAACACGTGAGTAGTGTAAAACTGAACATATTGCAACTAAAAAATAAAGGGGGAAGTTATAATTCACAATTTTTATTTGTATTTTTTAACATATATCTCCATATCAAATTAACATTATTGAGGCATACCCGAGATGCTACACTATTTTTAACCAAGTATAACTTGTTCATTTATGAAAGATAATTTTAGCTACTTTTCAAGTTTAAAAATAGTTTATTTGATATGCGTGAGTTATTTTTTTTATTTTGTTTTATATTAATTCTTTAATTTTCTCTCAAAAGTAATGCTTTAGTTTTTTTTATTTATTAGGTTCCCGGTTTAGTGTTCTTGATTTAGTATTGTTGCTTTCTAGTTTTTCGCTTTTACCATTTTTCTTTTTCAACACATACGTTCTATTTTTCAAATTACTATGTAAAGTGAGAGAATTCGGTGAGGGGGTATGCAAGGGTAAAAAAAACTTTGAGAGAGATGCTCTCTAAGTTTAGCATTATGAGTGTTTTATGTTGGAATTGTCGATGTTTTCGCAAGTGATGATAATTTAAGTGTTGCTCGATCTAATTCACGCGAAGAGACTAGCGTCAATATTGTTTAAAAGTGGCTATTATTTCATGTTAGAGTAGGTTAATTTTGGAATTAAGTGTTACTATATACTTGGAGTTCATTGTAATAGATTCTTTGAACTAAATTAAGTGGAGACGGGTCTTTGTGAAAATTGATATTAACACATG